AGCACCCTTTTGGAACATAAGGTCCCTCAGGTTGTTATACTCATATTTGTTTTCCCAATTCCTAGCGGAGAAGTACCTTAAGACTTACAGAGAGGGGCTGGGGATATGACTCAGTAATAAAGTACTTGCCCAGCATATACAAGGTCTCAGGTTCCATCCCCAATAAGGCAAAACAGAACAAAAGAGAGGGATACAGTAGTACATGTAGGGGACATTATCTGGAGAAAATCTAAGCTTTTCTAGGCTTAATATAAGCAGTCTTTGGGGTTGTGCAGGAATAGGAATAAATGTACCTACCTCTCAGGATGGTTATGGAAAGAAGTAAATTAACCTATTAGATGTTTAGAGTGGAGCATGGTGGCCCACCTCTGTAATACCTGCGGCTGAGGCAGGAGGATGGGGAGTTCAAAGCCAGTCTTAGCAAAAACAAGGCCCTAAGCAACTGAGACCCTATCTCTAAATAAAATAGAAAATAGGGCTGAGGATGTGGTTCAGTGGCTGAGCGCCCCTGAGTTCAATCTCCAGTAAACCTCCCCCAAGAAAAGATGTTTAGTATAGTACTTATTAAATATAATGAATAGCCAAAAATCTCACCTATTATCTTCACTATCACTGGACTTGAGGTTCCTTCTATCAGAACATTTTTTTTAAGTTGTTGCAGACCTTTATTTTATTTATTTATATGCGGTTCAGAGAGTCGAACCGTTGCCTCATACATGCCAGGCAAGTGCAATACAGCTGAGCCACTGCCACAGCCCCTATCAGAAAAGTCTTATTGCTGCCTCCCCACCTCTTTTCCTGGCTTACATCAATTTTCTTCTCAGCATCTAGGTTTAGCCAACTTCTCCAAGAAAAACTTTCCTGGTCCCCCAATACTGGGTTAAATATCATTTCTCTGTGCTCTCATGATGCTGGTCCTTTCCACAACACTTCTCATATGCATATTTTCCTTGCCTGTCTTTCCCACAAGGCCGTATGCATCTAAATCCCCAACTTAATACCATGCCTGATAGATGCTTTAAAATTATTTGGTGAATGGAAAACTTTCCAGTAACAAATGAGGGATCCATTGAAACAGAATCTCAACAAGGGAATTTTAAAAGGTTAAATGCAGCATCTAACTTCACCTTAACCACCTGCAAGCAGTAAGAATCCACTGATACCCTCTTAAGAACCCAAATGTTAATCCCTCCTATGCACCTTTGTAGAAAGAAGGGGACACAGAGAAGGAGCACATCATAAAAGTAATCCACTAATCAGCCTCTGAATAGTTTTTGATTCATGCTGCTGTCATAGATAGCACTGCTATTCCTGATCACTGCAGCCCCATGGCTGCTTTTCTGATCCTGAGTGGTCAAAAAGCAGGTGCAAACAAGACCAAAGATGGGGAGTTATCTGAGTTGTTTCAAGGGTAGATCTCTTTGAAGATACAGAAGGAACTAGCAGATCCAAAAAGGCTTCAGCAATAAGGAACTTCAACCCCAGAGGAGGAGGGGTTAAAACATACAACCAGGCCTGGATTCCTGCTCTAGGGCTTAATGCCACACCCTACTGCAGATGAAAATAATCATTTTGCATTTACAAATACTCTAGAGATGAAAAAAGGCATTAAGAGTACCAGCTCTGCCAGTCACAAAAGGACAAGGAGTCTATGATTCCATTTATGCAAGTTTCCTAAAGTAGTCAAATTCAAAGACAGAAAGTAGAATGGTTGTTGCCAGAGGCTAGCAGGAAAAGGAAATAGGAAGTGTTTAATGGGTAGAGTGTTTCAGCTAGGGAATGTAAGAAGTTCTAGAGATGGATGATGGTGATTGATTGTAGAAAGTGAATGTACTTAATATCACAGAATAGCACATTTAAAAAATGGTTAAAATGGTAAAATTAAAAAAGTGTGTAGGGCTGGGGATATAGCTTAGTTGGTAGAGTGCTTATCTCAAATGCACAAGGCCCTGGGTTCAAACCCCAGCAACACACACACACACACACACACACACACACACACACACACACAAAGTATGTGTAGGGGCCAGAATTGCAGTTCAGGAGTGCTTGCTTAGCATGTGTGACACACTGGGTTCGATCCTCAGCACCACATAAAAGTAAATAAACAAAACCGTGTCCATCTACAACTAAAAAAAAAAAAAATTTTTTTAAGTATGCCTACACACACACACAATTTTTATAGCATACCAGTTTAAAATTACATTGTCTGCAGTCTGAACCCTGGCTTGGACACTTATTGAATACAGGGTCCTAAGCAAGTCATGTAACCGCTGTACCCAATTCATAGATTGCTCTAAGGATTAAATGACATGTTCCACATAAAGTCCTTAGTCCAGTGACTGATAGTACATGTTAAGTACTCAACAAAGCCCTTTGACATCCATTTTTTCATAGACCCACAACAATCCTATAAGAGTTTACACATATGGAAACTGAAGCTCAGAGGGCCACAATGAGTGGCTCAGTACATGATGCAAGTTCGAATCTTCCATCCATGAAAATATCCTATCTTCAACACTTGTTAATTCCATTATCTAAGACAAGAGCCCTAACCTTGCTATGTATGTCTCCACTGTTACAGTTTAAAGGAGACATAAGGGCTGGGGTTGTGGTTCTGTGGTAGAGCACTTGCCTAGCATGTGTGAGGTACTCAGCACCACATAAAAATAAATAAATAAAATAAGGTATTATGGGCTGGGATTGTGGCTCAGCAGTAGAGCGCTTGCCTAGCACAGGTGGGACCCGGATTCGATCCTCAGCACCACATAAAAAATATATATATAAAATGCATTGTGTTGTGTTCATCTATACCAAAAAATAAATATTTTTAAAAAAAGGTATTGGGTCCATCTATAACCAAAATAAATATAAAAATTTTAAAAAGGAGACATAAACCATGTTCTGCAAACTCACAAAACTAGAAATCAGATAGTGGTAACAAAAGAGTACTGTAAACTATAAATAATGTAAAAGTCACAACTTAAGAGAACTGGTACACCTGTACAAAACCTGGCCTTTTAACATATGGCACAGAAAGTGGGTGTAACTACTTGGTTATTTCCATATTCAGGGTTTCTGGTCTTAAGCCCTTAATAAGTAGTTTAGTGCCTTAGGTTGAAGAGGTGGTAAGGTATGTGAAAATTACTGGACTGGGAGCAAGACCACTAGAGATTCTGGTTCTGACTGTCCCTAAGGCAGGCTATGAATTTGGACAACTTACTTCCCATTCCAAGGTTTAATCCATAGGAAGAAGAGAAAGATGAAAGTTGGACCAGTCTGTAAGAAGTTGTCTGTAAGTAAATGATGTGACCTAACGCTAAGTCAAAATATCTTCTCTGCTAAGAAAGGACTTATACACCATGAAATAAAAAGTACAGCATCACTGTTTGCCCTTCTGTGGTTACTGTGAGTTGAAGAAACTCATATATGCCGCCTCCTATCTACCATCACTCCTAAATCTAGAAATCTTAGGCAGGGGGTGGGTGTCATGTAGCAGACCAACCAGTGGCAAAAAAAATAATGCAAACATCAGGAGATTCCTCAAGATCTGGCAGAAAAACTTCTCAGCCTACTTTTTAGACACTCCCCATAACCGGGATCAAACACACTGGAAAACTGGAACACTTGCCAAAGCTAATTTTAGTTCACTTTAACCCCTCTGGGCCTTATCTGAAAATAGGAGAAATTTAAAAAAGAAGACTTGAGCTATACCCAACCCTTTCTCCCAACTAGGATCTACAAATCTAAACCTAGATGACATGCAAGGCTTGGGAGGAAAAATAAGCCCTAAGCAAAAATGAAGGAAGGACTTCACTGTTTACAGACTTTAGCCAAATGCTGGAGAACTTCAGTTGTGTCTGAGATCTGGAATCTCCGTCAAATTATACAAGCAATATCAGCAAGAAACCACTCCCACCTCCTTTCCCTTGAAGCTCTAGTAGCAGCAAATTGGGATTTTATCTATAGTACAGTGGACACCGGCCCAAGAGTCAGAGAAAACCCAGAGTTGTATCTCTAAATGATATGACCTAACAGTAAGTCAAAATATCCTTTGTATTTAAGAGATGACACATACACCAGGAAATAGCAGTTACAGCACCACTGTTTTGCACTTTTGTGGCTACGGTAAGTTGGAGGAAATTAACTTCTCTGCGCCTGTTTCTGTAATTGGGAACAACCCTGAAAGGCCACTATTAGCATTAAATGATACAGATTTATGAAGTTCCTGAGTCAGTCTCATTAAATGTTACCTGTTGGTATTAAACACTTCTCGCACATGTTAGTTTCCCTCCCTGAATACACTAACACTGCGAGGCTAGTTTCTCTCTTTACTCCATTTCACGGAGGAGCAAACCGAGGCTCCCCCGCCAAGAGGAATAGGTGAAGTGCGATCACCGCCCCAGCTCGTGGGCCTGTTGTTCCTCTCAGATCCCGAGATGTGCAACGTGCCCAGGACAGGCAGAAGTGGGGGGCAAAACGTTCAGACCCTTCGGGAACGAAGCAGGGGCAGTTCTGCGCGCCTTGGGGAGCTGGCTGACCCAGCTCGGGCGGGAAAGCCGGAAGAAGCCCGGGGCAGGGGCTGGGACCAGGGCCTTCCCCGCCCGAGGCCTCCCCGACGCGGCCTCCGCTCTCTTCCCTCCTCCCCTCGCCGGGCGGGGCGGGGCGCGAGCACAAAAGACTCCAACTTCCGAGCGGCGCGGGCCCACCCCGCCAACTCCTGGCCCAGGCCCGGCCCGCGAGAAGGAAGCGGGCAGCGAGCGCCACGGAGGCCAAGAGCCGGCACTGGTGGGCCGGGGCCGCCAATCCAGAGTGGCAGACCCGGGAGGGGGAAGGGGGGGTGGGGGCCTGGAGTTACTCGGGCTCCCGGGACTCCCCGAATGGCAGAAAAAAGAGTTTCTAAAAATAGGCAGCGGCGCGTCTTAAGAGGTGGGCGACAGAACAGGCACAAGGAACAATCCCCCGCACGCTGAAGAAGACGCCCGCGGGCCCCCACTCACCCGCGCCGAGAGGTCTGGAGGAAGACGCGCGGCGCGGAAGGAGGCGGTGCCGCCGCACTCGGGGGCGGAAGGGAGGGAGGAAGGAGGCGGCCCTAGCCGCCGCGCGAAGAGACCGAGCACACGCACGCGAGTCGCCACCGCGACCGCCCCCTCGGCTTCCCGGCTCTGCGCCCTGCGCCCGCGCTGCTCGCGCGCCCCGCCGCACTGACAGCGGCGCGAGCACCGCAGCCGTGAGTCCTTCCCTTGGCTCGCACCACTAAGGCGCGCGGAGATAGGGGCGTCCAGGGCGGCTTCCCTCCCTCGGCCCTGCCTGCCGCTCCGATCCTAGCCCTGAGCTCTCCCTCCCTCTCGCTTCTGTTTCCCGGAAAGGACACGATGACACAAACACTAGGAGTCCGCAATCCCTGAAAAACCCCGGCTCCCCAGGCGCAAGAACTCTCCCCACCCTCTGGCTTTGGAAAGGTCCTGAGCTTCGGCGGGGAAGAGGAGAAAGGCGGGGCTGGGGCGGGGCCTGGCGGGGGTGGAACGGAGGTGGGAGGCGGGGCTAGGTGGGGAAGGGAGTCGCTTACACCAGTGTGGAGCTGAAGGCGGGGCAGGCGAAAGCGTGGTGATGCCCTGGGAATTGGGGTGCCAGATAGGTGTAGAAGATCTCCTGGGAGACCAAGGAGCCAAGGCAGCGCTCCACAGGAGGAGGAGCAGTAGGTGGGGTTAAGGAGAGAAAGTGCCCAGAAGAAGAGTCCGGAAGGGGGCGGGGCCTTCTGAAGGGAGGAGGGTGTGGGCGGAGCCGAAGAGAAGCTTTGGGGGGGATTGAAGCTGGCCTGGAGGAGGCGGGCCCGGAAGCACAGCAGGGAGGAGGGGGTCTGTGGTGGCCAATCTGGGGAGGAGCCGGAAGGAGGCGGGCCCTAAAGGAGGGATGAGAGGGTGGTGCTTAAAGTGGGCGAGGCTTGGAGATAAGGCCCTAACCAGTAGGCTGGCTGCGGTGCGGGAGGAATCCGGAAAAGAACTGGTGGGGAGAAGCGCCAGGTCCTCTCACTTTCAAGGAAGCGGTTCGCCGACTTGGTGAGGATCGCTCCTCGCTGCCAAGGCTCGGGCTAGGCGGAGAGACCGCGGTGAAGATGGTCCAGGGAGAAGATTCCACTTACTTAAAAAAAAAAAAAAATTATGTTCAAGTAGCTTTCCTCTTCTGAGGTGGTGATGTTTTGTATGACCGAGTGGGTAGTGATTCTTCCTAAACACTCCGAAGCGTATCCCTGTAGGAATCTCATTTGAAACAGTTCCAGGCTCTTAACATCTCAGAACAGCTGGAGGAGTCGTCTTAGAGTACAAAAGGACCATTGCCAGCTATAGACCTCCGTGGGGGCTGGAAATGAACCTTTCTTCATACCTCTTCTGACCTGTGATTTTCTCCATGCGTCTTCCCATCTGTAGTTTCATGATTATATTTTTACATTGCCTCTCTTAGAACCTGCCTAAGATGTGAAATTTCTGAAAACAGAGCAGTTTGAATTGAGAGTCCTGACTCTGGCAAACCAGCAATAGTAACTGCCCTTCCTTTATTTGATGACCTCCGTGTCCTATTTTAAAAAGAAGAGAAATCAAATTAGAGAGATGGTGATACAGAAGAGCAAGGCCCAGAATATTCTTTCCCCAAGTCTCTGATTAAATATTTCTTCCTCAGAGAGGTCTTTCTTAAATACCCCCTCCTAAAGGTGTTCTCTAGTGTGACATTTTGTTCTATCGATTGTTTATTTATTTTTGTCTCTCCACCTTTAGAATGTAAGTTCTATGAGACTAGGAATTTTCATCACTGTGTTCCCAGAACTAGTGCAATGTCTAGCACATACCTAGTGTTCAATAAACAATCAATTAAAGTTGGCCCCTGCCAGCCTAGTCTCCCGACTTTCTGGTAACTCCCTGGCTCTTCCCTTGCACACTAGCCTTACCATTTTTAGTTAAGTACATCACAATCTTTCAGCATTCTCTACTGTAAGCATTTTCCGTATTTGAATTTCTCCTCCCTTTCTGCCCAGATACCTCTAATTCATCCTTCAGCACTCAGTTTAGGAACCACCTCCTCTGAGAAGTGTTCTCTGACCTCCCTTCAGCCCTACCACCAGAAAAATTAAGGCTGTCACTTTGCTCAGTTTATGGCCTAGGTTACAAAATTTGCCTGTGCAGGTGATGCCCTTCCCTAGCTGGCACTGAAGATTATGTTGATGTTCTACAAAATCCTGTGTGACCTGCTACTCTTTGACTTTATCCCTATTAGTCTTACCCTTTCCTACTCTGCTCCAGCCACACTTTGGCCTCTATCCCATTTTTTATAACAATGTAGGCTTTTTGTCCCAGGGCTTTTGCACTTGCAATAGCAAGTATCTGCCTCAAATTCTCTTTTCTAAGACATTGGTATGGCTCACTTACCTTAAATGGCTCACATTTAAACTTGCAGCATCCCACTGGGCATAGTGGTACACATCTAGAACGCCAACTACTCAGGAGGATCACAAATTCAAGACCAGCCTGGGCAACTCTCAAAATTTTTAAAGGGCTGGGGTGTATCTCGGAGGTAGAATGCTTGCCTGGGATATGTGTAAGGCCTTGGGTTTGATCCCCAGTACCACAAAAATAAATAAATTAAATAGCAATATTCCATGTCATACTTCCTCCTACCCTTTCCTGATGGATTTTTCTTCATAACCCTATTGTGTGTATTTCTTTATTGTCTCTCTCCCATCCCCACCTTCAACTATGATGTGATCTCCACAAGGACAGGATATTGTCGGTTTCGCTCATTCCACAGAGCCCAAAACAATAGTCCTTCTTTTAATATTTGTTGAATGATTAACTACAAATTCAACAGAGAAATGTCAGGAAGACTTAGTGTTTCCAGAAGAATCTCTGAAGATTACAGTATGAAGGGAGATGTTTCTAAGGAAATACAGTGGCAACGTAAGCCAACATGTATGGGGCATTTACTAGTTGCTAGGAAGTCTGCTAACTGCTTTTCAAGTTTACTTAATTCCTACAACAGCCTTGAAGAAGATGCTATTATAATCGCTATTATATGGAAAAGGAAACAGTGTCACAGATTAACTTTCCAAAGGTCATACACTTAAGAGATAATATTAAGTCCAACTTTAGAACCTGCATACTAAATCTCTATACTGTCTTGCCACCAAATTGTTAAGGACCCAGGGCTGTTGGTCAATAAAGAATATTCTTTTGTTGTCTACATAGTGTGGTGCAGTGTGCCTACAGTTGCAGCCAAAAATGTTTTTTTTCTTTTTTTTTTTAGTTACCATGAGGAAAGCCAGTCAGAAGACAAAACCTGATGGAAGTTTTGGAGGAAGACAGAACCAAGAAAACATTACAGAAAAATTGAACTAGAGAGTCCATTCTGCGGGACTCGGGATATGGCTCAAGTGGTAGCATGCTCGCCTGGCATGCGTGAGACACTGGGTTCGATCCTCAGCACCACATAAAAATAAAATAAAGATATTGTGTCCATCTAAAAATAAAAAATAAAAAAAAGAGTCCATTCTGAAGCTTGATCCACCTCTGAATTTTAACAGGAACTAACACATCTTTATTATTTTATTTGTGGTTTTTGTACTGGGAACTGTAACTCCCTAACTGAAACAGATGAGTTTGGGAATGTGGCTCAGTGGTAGAGTGCTTGCCTAGCACACATCAAGCCCTGGATTTGATCCCCAGCAACACACACACACACAATAATAATAATAATAAAAGCCATGAATTTGAATTTTAGTTCCAATAAAACGTGTAGTGTTCTACAGGTAGAAATATTGGTGCCTGGGCTGGGGATGTGGCTCAAGCGGTAGCGCGCTCGTCTGGCATGCGTGCAGCCCGGGTTCGATCCTCAGCACCACATACAAAGATGTATCCACCGAAAACTTAAAAATAAATATCAAAAATTTCTCTCTCTAAAAAAAAAAAGAAAAGAAATATTAGTGCCTCACTTTTTATAGGAATTGTGTTTACAGAATGCTGTGGGGTATTCTAGACAGAGGGAACAGCAAACAGAAAAAGACAAGACTATGAGGGCTGGGGATATAGTTCAGTTGGTAGAGTGCTTGCCTCACATATACAAAGCCCTGGGTTCAATCTCCAGCACCACCAAAAAAAAAAATAAATATTTTACCTTTCAAGTTCTGAGTTAAGAAAGACTCACCTCTTCTCAACACCAAAAAAAAAAAAAAAAAAAAGACAGGACTATAAGCTAGAGGTTTCTGCAGAAGAAGGTATGAGTTGAGAAAACTAAATATAAAGGGAACTGGTTTTTATACTCAGCTTGATAGAAAATGGGAATCACTGGAAGGTTTGCACAGAAGGTGCTTTCAAACTAATCTGGTTCAACCGCCTTGTTAACCCTCCCAGCAATCCCACAATGTTACTTCCAGCTTTGTCCCCATGTCACAAATGAAATGTAACAGCCAATGTCTCAACACATGTAGCAACCAGGATTTGAGCCCAGGGCTGTCTGAGCCCCAACCATGCATTCAACCGCTTTTCTCTCCCCATCATTAGAATTAATTCTGCCGGCCAGTCATAGTGGTGCACGCCTGTAATCCCAGCAGCTCGGGAGGCTGAAGCAGGAGGATCATAAGCTCAAAGCCAGCCTCAGCAAAAGCGAGGCACTAAGCAACTCAATGAGACCCTGTCTGTAAATAAAATTAAAAAAAAAAAATAGGGCTGGGGGTGTGGCTCAGTGGTTGAGTGCCCCTGAGTTCAATCCTTGGTACCCTCCCCCAAAATTAATTCTGCTGTCGAAAAAAAAAAAAAAAAGATGGCAGCAGTCAGGTCAAGCTGAATCCCATCTGGAGGAGGGAGAAGAGCAGGAGAGGAGAATCAGCATGTGGAGATGAGGAATGTTAAAAAGAAAAAGACAGAGGCTTGTCACCTGCAAAGTCACCTTGTCTTCCTCATCTGCCTTTGACCAACTCATGGCAGCCAGGAAGCAGAGAGAAAGAGGCAGGAAAGCCATGGGGACAGAGTTCCCAGGCCATGCATGCCCCCAGCGACCTACTTCCTCCAGCCATGTCCCACTTTGCTTATGCCCTACCCAGTAGTCCATTCACATTAATAATCCATCAGATGGATTAATCCACTGAT